ACGCACCGGGGCAACCGGCTCTTAAGGGCTCCAGCTATTCACACGCAGATAGCACCCACAAATTGTGAGGAAAAGAGGAGCAGATCGTCCCGACACGCACTGCGGAAGAAAGAATTTGCAAACCACGGCCTGAAGTCACCACAAGTTGATAGCATATCCACGTTTTGGACATCCGTGGAGTCATGTGAACTCAGCAAACGCAAAAAGCTGAAACCGGATTGTGTTGCAAATGCATTTGACTACTAATTACAAGGCAGTGCGATCCATCGTCCGCTTTCTTTGGGAGCCACAGCTGCATTATCGTTACTTGTGTTGTCAATGAATTCTGACCAGGTGCAAATGGTCATGAGATGAACTGGCTTTCATGGTGATAATTTCACTCTGTCGTTGTGCATTTGCTTGTAGACACAACCTGTGAGATGAACTTTCACGCAGTGTTCAGTTGTTTACTTAGTTTGCTTAGTGTATCTAGTGTACTTGATTGTACTTTACTTTGTTTCTTTCCCCAATAAGTATCAGAACCGTTTGGACCGTGCGAAGGGTCTTTAAGGAAGCTTCTCCCAGCAAGTTTCCTTGGAGAATCCGATCGCTTGTGAACATATGTTCTTTTGTTTTGTTTATACAATAAATGGTTTTTTTTCTGTTATTCTGTAAGTTTTGATCCCGGGGGTGGGGGTAGGCCGCTATAGGAAGAAGTAGGCTGGTAGCTTAAGTGAGCTACTAGCTACTGGACAGAGGAAAGCTCGCGCAGATATAGTAATAGCTCACGCTTCTTCAAGGAAGCTCCTCCCACCACCCTAAAGGCGGCTAGATTTGGTTCCTAGATTATACTGTATTACGAAAGTCAGCCGATAGGCAAGGCTTGAGCTTTTAGGGCGAACGAAGTGAGTTAAGGGGGTGTGGGGGTGGGGTGTTCGCTAAGAAGGACCTTTTGATAGGGTGGACGCAGAGCTTGGTGGGGGAGAGCGCTCCAAAGCGAGGGTCCGAAAACAGTGAAAATGGGGTTTGGTGATGCGAGTGATGTAATGGACGCCGAGTAGTGCATCATTAGCATCATGAAGGGCTACTTGGGCAATGGGCATAGAGGACTCGAGTGGAGACAGCAAATCAATCCAGCTTTGACCTTAAGAGCTTTGTGGTGGGAGTGCTCGGAACACTACCCCGCTTGGCTAAGCGTCTTCCCACAAAGCCTGAACTGGAAAGCGGGAGTGGTTTATCTGCCTTTAGAAATTTAGACTCATGTTTTTTCGTGCATCAAGAAAAGGTTTGGTTCTCGTACATCGTGAACCACAGGTTCATGGGAGTCACCTCTGCCCTGGTCTTCGCAAACCTGGGTGCAGCATATGGAACAGCAAAATCAGGCGCTGGATTCAACAGCTGTTTGCAGCTCAGAAGTTTCAGTGATCCTTTGGCAGTGGCAGCCCTTGAGTTTTCGCATGTTTTCGCCACAGAATGAAGTTTGTAAACTGTGAGAAAAACAGCAGGTGTTGGGATCGCATCCATGGGTGCACCTTGGCAAAAACTGTGGGCATGATGTGAAAAGTATGCCCAGTAAAAGTTCATTAAAGGACAATAAGAAGGCAAAGGCACCTTTAATGAGGCCCCTACCTTCTTCCATTTGTTCTTTATTCCTTTTTGTAGTAGACCAAATTGGTTTCTAAGAATGACCGTGACCCTCTACACCAAGGTCATGCGACCTGACATGATCATGAAGTGGCGTGGCAGCAGCAAAAACAGAATGGACAACACGCACGTTTTTGTTGTTTTTTCTTTTTAAAGGGAGTAGGCCGCTAGTAGAGGTGACGCTGGATAGTTCACGCTTCTTCAAGGAAGTTCCATTAGGGCGGCGGGGAAGCTTCCTTGAAGAAGCGCTCGAACTAATGATTTGGTTTCTAGATGTTTACACAAAAAACAACACATTTTCTTCCCAATCATTAGTGTTCGAGCTGCTATGCTGCTACACTTTCACTTATGTTTCTTTGATGCATTTTCTGGGTGCATCGGATAGGTGTTCAAACTCACAATAATGCGTTTCTTGCTAGTTCCTGCCGCTGGAAATGCATGGAGACCAAGCAGGAAGCAAGTCAAGGTGTGTGTTGCTGACGTTTTGCCCACAAGGTCGATCATTCCAGTTGTTATGGTCTTCCCGGCTGCACTTGCTGAGCTTGTGTTGCTGAATCCTGCTATTCGAAGATGAACTCAACCAATGCAACATTGCTGTGCAAACCGTGAACCCTTCACCCACATCTTCACATGCCGCGGTTTCTTTGGTTCCGTGAATTGCCTAGGCGGGAGTCTTGGGTATCTATGGCCTCATCACTGCAGCAGCCTACTCAGAAAATCTCTGAAGCAGCTGAGGGTCCTGAGGACATGCACTCCCACTACGCCAGTGTTGCAATGGCAGGTGATCATCAACGGCAAGATGGATGCTGCAAATTATTCTGCTTACTCGGGCTATGCCCACTTAGGGGCAGGCTTGACGAATCTACTCCCAAATGTTCAAGCATTCAACAGGCAGACTTGAATCTTAGACCCTGAACAGTTTTGACACAGGAGCCCAAGCTTATATACTATATATATATATTATATTGTATAGTTATTTTCTCCTAAGATTCCGGCTGCCCGTCAGGGCTCACTGTTGGCATGAGCTCTTTAGCTGCAGGAGGGGATGACTTCAAGTGTAGCTTGTGCTTTTCTGACGAAAGAGAACAAACAAACCGTAAAGCCTATACTTTGTCTTTGTTTTTGTCTGTTGTAGTTCACCATTGGCTGCTCGCTTCAGGACTCGCAATTGGCATCGTAGGCGATGCCGGCGTGCGAGCAAATGCCCAGCAGCCACGACTCTTCGTGGGGATGATCCTCATCTTGATCTTCGCAGAGGCACAGCATGGCAAAGCATGGCACAGCCATAAAGGGCACAAAGGCACAGCAGTTAATTTGAAGCCAAGACCTGAGACCAAGAAGCACTGAGACCTACTAAGACCTATAAGGCTATAAGGTATACAACTTGAGGCAAAGGCCAAAAAGCCAAGATGTTTGCTGAATTCTCCGCAGTGAGGCGATGTAAGGGATATAAGGGAGTTGTCTTTTTTTCATGGTGAACGCACATCTTTGCAACAATTATATATTCAAGACATTTTAAGAAGCATTTCTATGCATGTCTACTCTTAAACGTGTACATGTCCATGTTCATGCTACTATCTCTTTTGGCATGGAGGCCCTTGGCTTGTACGGCTTGATTGTTGGCTTAGTGGTGGCCTCCACTGCGGAGGGCAAAGGACATGGGGAGATTCGGGAGGTAAAGCATGCCAGCTGGCTATGCCGACAAGCTGTGCACAAACCCACAAAGCAAATGTGTTGTTCGCAATTGATTTGTAGGTTGAATAAGTTTAATTTGATTTTGATTCTAATAGCTTTTTGTTACTACTAGCGTGGCACTTGTTACTAGTAGTTGAATAAAATCGGTCCCATGAATTTATGTTCTTCGTTTGCCTGAGCACGAATGTGTTCCATGTTCACTTCACCCCGTACCCATGCCCATGCCTTTGGTTGGCCAATTTTTCACCTTGAGGAAAGGGCCTTTGCTCACCGTACGCCGGAGTCTTAAAGCGTGCATTTGTAGATCTACAGTTGGGAATCATGGGGTATTGCATCCTTCGGGCAGGGGACAACCAATGGAATTTTCAGCAGTGTGAAACAATTGAAACCACATTCAATTTAGGGTTTTTCACTTGTTACTGAGGCCTGAAGATTGAAATGGATGCCCTGTCGTTTTGGAAGTGGACGTGGAGGGATTTTGTCAGCCCAATTCAGCCCTCTGATCTGTGCAAGTGGCCACAGAATCGGACGTTCCAATGGGAGGGATGTGGGTCTGCCGGACCCAAAAGGTCCACTAAGCGAGTGAGGGAGGCGCTCGGTCTTGATATTTCTTGATGACTCATGGCCCTGCTCATGGCATGTTTGTGGTTACAAGACGATAATACGCCAAGCCATGCCAAACCTTCTGCTTCTGTTGGTCCTCTCTTTCCTTGAGTGTGGCATTGTCCGGCTGCACTTTTCGCTGCCTTGGCTCAAGCCTTTTCTGTCATGCGATGACAAGTTGGGCGCTCATCAATGCAAGCTGGGCAGTTTCTTCATTGACAACTAAATTCCTTGCAGGTTGGAGGCCATCGCTAGAGTAGGTTGGAGGCCATCCCTAGTAGGTTGGAGGCCATCCCTAGTAGGTTGGAGGCCATCACTAGTAGGTTGGAGGCCATCGCTAGTAGGTTGGTGGCCAGCGCTAGTAGGTTGAAGGCCAGCGCTAGTAGGTTGAAGGCCAGCGCTAGTAGGTTGGAGGCCACCGCTAGCAGGTTGGAGGCCAGCGCTAGTAGGTTGGAGGCCATCGCTATATAGTAGGTTGGAAGCCATCGCTAGTAGGTTGGAGGCCATCGCTAGTAGGTTGGAGGCCATCGCTTAGTAGATCGCTAGTAGGTTGGAGGCCATCGCTATATTAGGTTGGAGGCCATCGCTAGTAGGTTGGAGGCCACCCCTAGTAGGTTGGAGGCCATCATTACTAGGTTGGAGGCCAGCGCTCGCTGTTCCTTTGCAGTGCCTTTTTTGAGTCGCTCTAGGTGCGTCATTTGGGCCACGGGATCGTGGAGCAGCTCAGTGAGGCGAGAGGAGTTACTCCGATGGCCACCTGTTTGTTTGCTTGAGGTTGAAGACGAAGTGGCCACTGTGATGCTAGAACGTTCGGGCCCTGGTGAATTCTGATGATGTGTTTGTAAACAACGACGTTCATGTGTCAATCTTTGCACTCCAGCAAGAGTGCACCTTGATGCATTGGTTCTGAAACAAGATCCAAGAAACAATAAGTATATACTAATTTTGACAGATCTCATCACCAAGATCCACCAAGTAGTTGTTGTGCCTCTAGTCTGGCAGAGCTAGTTGAGAGGCACAAACACACATTTTACATGTTTGGCCATGGGTTTTCTAGATTCCAACATGCCAGCAAAACAGTGACAACGTGTCGGATTCTTTTCCAAGTATGCAGTAAAGTCTCGTGTTTTTGTAGCCGCCAGAGCCATGGCCGACAGTGACACTGTCGCATTGGTCCTGCAAGCTCGACATCGGCAGTGCGTCGAGGAGTTATTCGACGATTACGCAGACGATTTTGATGAGCATTTGAGCTCTTTGGGGTATGAAGTCCCGAAGATATTGCTGTCCGTTTTGCCCACGGGACGCTTCCGGCGTTGCATAGACCTGGGATGTGGTACTGGGCTCACTGGCCTATCTATCAGGAACTGCTGCGATGTTTTAGAAGGGGTTGACTTGTCTTCCCGCATGGTTGAAAAAGCATTGGACCGTGAAATATACGATGCAGTGCATTGTGCAGACCTTGTGGCGCACCTTCGAAAGCAAGCTGCAGATTCTTGTGATCTTCTAGTGGCCACTGATGTTGTGATGTACCTTTGCTGTATAGAGCCTTTGTTCCAACAGGCCAAGCGAGTACTCTCGGTGGGTGGAATCTTGGCTTTCTCCACTGAGTCTGCCACTGATAAAGAGGCTCCAGATGGTGTTGTGGAAAGAGCCTCAGAGCGCTTTGCACATTCTCGGAGCTTCATTGTGAAGCTGGCGGAGGGTTTTGAGAAGGTGGATGTCAAAGAAGTGAACATTCGACGAGACGGGGAGGCTGGACAAGTCATTGGAAGCTCCAATCGCATGGTGACATTGTTCGTTTCTTTGTTTCAGAAACCGTTCTCCTATAGGCCTATAGGCCATTTTGCAACATGTCTTGAGTTCAGCAAGCGATCTTTCAACATGTTTGTGTTCAACAGCTGCTCGTTGCTTTTTAGCATTGTGTACTATTGTGCATGTTTTGAACTCAGGAGATATTATTGTCCTTCAACGTGTTCCAGATGAATGCCTTTCAGGTTCAGGCAACCCAGTATACACCAGTACATAGATCAGGACGAGGCCAGCAACTTCAAAGAAGGTTGCACAGCCTTTCCTTCCATTTCCTTCAGATTTGCTGAAGTTCAAAAGAAATTGACACACCAAGTGGCGCTTTTCTTCTTCACAAGCGGTTCGCAATCTTTCAGATGTTGAAACTCCTTCAATGTACTGAGGCGCATGACTGGAGGCCAGGCATGGGCAGGCCTCAACAAGGCGTTGTAGGATCCCCCTGGCTTGTGCCCCAGAATCAGCGCAGTTTTAGGGAAGAATGTTTTTACTATAAAATCAAGACTATTTTTTCTGTTGCCATTGATTCAGGATATCTCAAGATCCTATATTTTAGAGAAAGATTTGGGAAAGAGTCAACATGGAAAAACACAAAAATTAGGACAATTCTAGAGAATTTCTTTTTGCAATGTGCATGTGCAAACTTTAATTCTACAGAGAAGAGGTGTGAGTGCAAAGAATTCAGTCTCATTTTAGAGAGAGTGAGTTGGAGAGTGCAACATTGGGTTTTGATTCTAGAGGGCCCGTTTCTACCGCTTTGCTTGCTTTGCTCAACCATGCTGTTGAGATGGAAACAGGTTACCATTTCTATGAGATGACATGAGAAGACGCTAATTTACACTAGAATTCCATAGAAGTCCAAGGAGAAAATATCATAAGAACATATAATAACAGAGCAAAAGGTTACACAGAGCAGTTGTGCGGAACCCGATCCAACGTTCCAGTTGAGATCTCATTAAATATCATGCCAATACCTTTTGCATCCTTTTGGTAGCATTTGATAGTTCAACAGTTGACCAAGTGGGAACTTGGAAAAAGAAGCTGCTCATGGATATGGCGGAATCAAATCAAATCATATATCAAATCACAACAATTCACATCAAATCGCTCTAAATTGGAGTCATTTGACTCTAAAATGCTTCTTTCTAGAATTGAAGACTTCTTGCATGTATCTCATCAGCTTCCTGCTTGTCAGATTTTGGACTTTAGAGTGGGCCAGGTGAGGGGCAAATCTTGTGGATCCTAAGGGTCAACCCCGTCATTTTAGAGTGAAGTGGTTTTGTATGGGTTTTCACTTGGACCCCCAGAACAGGTCTAGGTCTCTAAAATCAGGGGCACTACCATCACCTGGAATTCCCAAGAGGATGTTGTAGGCTCTTCTTTGCATCAATGCAGGTCCTCTTTCGGGCAGACTTAGAGGCAGGAAACCATTTCTTGAAATTCCTTGCGCCCAACCAGTCCTGGATGATCTTGCAGTTCACAACATACATGTGCCTTGAGACACACTGATTTGGTCTAATAGCACTAATGTTTTGTCTGTGGCAGCCACGGGTTCAATGACCGCATAACATGTCACCTGCAAGTGCCAAGCACCTACTGTGTTCTTTGCTACTCTAGGGGTGCCCTTGCCAATTCAGACCAATTGCCAGTAAACAGCACCCAGTGGGCAAATCAATACACCAAACTGACTGTTTTGAATTGAAACCGCGCATGACGATTCTGGCGATTGGGCTCAAGGTGCTTGGTTCACGCAGAGTCCCTGGATGCCTTCAGAATTTCACTTGAGCGACTTGCATCTGGAAGCATTGACCGAGGATGAAGCAGTGCCTTGAGTTCGGAAGCTGTGCCTCATCTTTTCAAGCCACAAGCGCATCGAGGTCGGGGAAGCACGGCGTGGCAGATAGGCTATGGCAAGATTTCCCTTGGAGTGACACTAGGTCAACTGCAAACTGTGGCAGAGGTGCGTTGACATTTGACAGCTTTAACTCATACCAGCAACAACATGGCTGGCAGCAACAGCCATCCCCGAACCAGCAACAACATGGGTGGCAGCAACACCCGCCCTCAAACCAGCAACAAAACGGGTGGCAACAACACCCGCCCCCAAACCAGCAACAAAACGGGTGGCAGCAACACCCGCCCCCAAACCAGCAACAAAACGGGTGGCAGCAACACCCGCCCCCAAACCAGCAACAAAACGGGTGGCAGCAACACCCACCCCCAAACCAGCAACAACATGGGTGGCAGCAGCAAGGAGGGTCACACCAACAGCCAGTCCCCACACAAAACTCAAACCCAACCAATCAAAACCAGGAGGACACACACGTGAAGCACCATGACAAAGAGTCGCCCAGCGAGCCAACGATTGACAAGGACAGCACGATCAGGTGTTTGACTGCTGTGTTTCTATAGTTTCTTTGCTCTTGACGCAATGATGATCCCATGATCTTATCAATCTTATCCCAGCAATTTTGTTTGGCAGTGTGTACGGGCAGGACAATGACAGCAACCAAGATGAAGATGCTGAGAATGAGGTCGGTTGGTGCGTGGTGGCTTTCCAGAAAGTGTTTAGGAAAGCTGGATTCGCCCTGTCAGGCTGATCCAGTACCAGAGCCGAAGGTGCTTCAGGGAGAGCTTTCACTTATTCAGGGTAGGCTGGCTAGAAAGGCCCTCGGCTCAAAGTTCGTCATTTCTTTTCAAGAAGAGCCCTGTGCTGCTAGGCCCTTTGTTGTTCCTCCTGATGGTAGGAAGTACTGCGAAGACCTTCCTGGTGGCCCTAGAAAAAGGTTTGGGTCAACCAGCATATGTGATGTAATGCTGACCCGTCCTTTGTCCATGTTGCTTGACACGCAGCTGTGTGTTATGTGCTAAGCTGAAAGATATTTTCCTCGGGGATTTGGTTGGAAGCTGTAGAAAGGGAACATCAGTAGGGAGATTTCCAGGTAGAGTTTGTCACAAACAAGTCCCAGATATTTCCCAGAACCCCCGACCTTACCCAGAGTAAGCTTCGAATTCGCCAAAGAAAGTCAAAACTCTAGACTACGTGACTACATGCTGCAGAACTGACGAACACTAAGCAACAAGCAAGTCGCTCAATTATTCAAAGCATTTATCTCAGCACAGGATTTTATGATTGGTTTCTTAATGCTTCTTATACATAATCGATTCTTCGGGGCACAACATTCCTAGAGAA